CAGTACAGCCCCCAACTCAGATTTGAAAAAAAATCAGTGGATGGCTGGTTTCTGACTGGTCGGCAGACTGCCGACCAGTTGGCCCTACTGGTCGGCTGCAAAACGATCCGCGGTCGGGGTTGGCGGTCGGCAGGTATGCAGCCCTGGCCTACTGGGTTAACCATCCACCCAGGGGCCATTTCTCCACAGGCAGGCAGGCACTTCTGCATTTTTCCACCCATCCATCTGCCCCCCCTTTTTTTTTCTCTCTTTTTTTGGAAAGCTTGTAGATATAGTGCAAAAATCAAAGGGACGAGGCCGGGGACCTCACAAATCAACCCGGTGTTATCCTGGCAGCCTCAGCCAGTTTCGCTTACGAGCAACGCTCGATGAACAACAGACCGCTCCAGTTAAGAAGGCAGTGCTGCTGGAAACCGGGTTCAGCGTCCCAATCTAATCAACCAATTTCCAAAATTAAAGCACAAAGTAAAAAGGAGCTATCTGAACCTAGCTCATAGACACTATGATCATCTGTTGTACTGGAAACCAGAATACACTTTAAAGTCCAGTCCAGCATAACTTGAAACTCGAATACAGAACGATAGAACATCTGTAATCCTGACCATAGTCTATCCCCGCTATCTACGCCCTGGCAAACCTCACGGCGGTTTCAACCAGAGGGCTATGATAGCTTAGGTGAATTATAGAACTTTCCAAGAAATTTAATCTTGAAGCACAAAGTAAAAGGGGACTGAGACTAAAGAAAGAAAGGACTATTCCTCTGTTCATCAGCTCAGTCATGAGTATCCTTCAACCAGGTGCAGAAGGAAAACTGGTCCTCTATATTAAGCGTAGCTCCTTTGTCGCAGGCCCAGGTTTTGGAGAACCAGATAACATTCTTTCTTTGCCAGTCTGCCCGGATGATTCTTCTGAGGCTCTGTTTAATCTGTCGGCGTTGTTGTCTTGTCGCTGTATCCTCACCTCTGAAAACCCGTGCATTTGCTGCCCATATAACTTCCCTTAGTACTCCTCTGCAGCAAAGTGCTACATAACTCCAACCCGACGAGTAAGTCTGACCTGTTGGAAGAATTCCTGTCAGCATCCAGGAGTCTGTCCATTCCAGGGCTCCTTCTGTCATGGATACCCAGTGGTGTTTCCACCACATCAGCAATGTGTCCACAAGTGGGCAACAGAGCCATAGGTGGAGCATATTTTCCCAATCCAAATCACATCTCAAACAACGGGTATCTATTTCCAGTCCTCTTGAAGATAACCACATTGTCGTTGCCGTTACCATCAGGGATTGCAGCCACATCATGCTGGCCTGCTTCTGGAGCGGGTACTTGATGAGAGCTCTCCGCAGGTTACTCAAGCTCTGTTGTGTCACCTCCGTTAGTTGGTGAAATTCAGCTCTTCTTGTAGCCAGGTTCAACGGGGTATTTTGGAGCTGGTTTTGTAAAACCTGTACTAGTAGTTTCGGTCAGTACTGAACTAGTGGTTGGACTTTTCGCCGTAGCTCCGGCCCTTCCCAGACCTGTAGCAGAGGTTCCACCTCGAATCTGCTTGCTAAGCCTAGCAATACAGCAGGTGGCTGCCTTCTATTATGTCTACTCTCGAGCACTCGTACATCCAACATATCTCTTGTAGTATACAGCCAATAGTTGTCCTCTTCCAAAGCCAAGTTACCCATTGCTCTGGTTCTATTGGTCAGTTTCCACCTCTGCACTCTTAATCCTGCGGCTAAGTCGGGTCCCAAAACCTTGAAAACTTGGTTTTGCTGCTCATCCATTGTAAGCCAGGTGCCTGATGCGTGTTCAACTTCAGGTTGTAAAAGGTTCACCCAGGTTGTCGGAATGGCTTCTTTCAAAACTGTGAGTGCGCTTGAACTCTATGTAGTCTCGCAAGGCGCATTCTGAGTTGGGTAAGATCTAAAAATATCGATTTTTCCTCGTCCCGGATGTCTTTGATCTGTACCACGCCTTTCTTGATCCAACTCAATCCAAAGTTACCTGCCGTGTCCGCTGCAGCGAACGAGGCTCTATCTTGTTGCCGAATACAAATATTTTCAAAGAGAACTTGGTTGAGGACTCCAAGTTTAGTCGTTGGCTCTAGGCATTTGGAAGGACGTAGCTTGTTCCAGGCTCCAAGAATATTTTTCCATGTTCTGGATTGAGGCCTTCGGTTGCAGAAGGAAGGGATGGTCAGGCAGATCCATACCTTGGAATGATCTTGCAAGTCCCACTCGCTCCCCTGTACAACATATTCCGCCATCTCCTTCCAAATCTTGTCATCCAAATCCGTCATGGCCTTGACCGGCCATTTAGCCAGGAGGGCAGTGTTCTGCTGTCGGGGGTCTAGGATCCCCAGGCCTCCCTTCTTCTTTGGAATGACCACCACCTCCCATGCCAACTTTGATAGGAAACCTTGGTCTGCTGTCGCGTCCGGCTTCCACAAGTACCTGGTTGCTGTCTTCTTTATTTTCCTGTATGCTGTGTCCCCCAGCAGATGGATAGATAGTGGGAAGCAAAGCAAGGAAAACGCTGTTGTAGAGAGCACCAGGGCTCTACCAAAAAGTGACAGCTTTGTCCACCGTTCCGAACCTGCAATTTGTGCTAGTACTTTATCTGCTAGCAAGTTGTCCTGCACTTTATCACAATTAAATAAAGATACTTGCGACCCCAAAAATCTATCTGAGGAATTAGCCGGCACCCGCCGCAATCCCCAATCCACACAAATCTCAAACATAGGGGGAAGGAAATATAGCGATTTATCCCAGTTAATTGAGGCTTCTGACAAACACAGTAATCCTCTAGGACTCTACGCAGCTCTGTTAACGACCTTGGGGAATTGTCGCAGGCCGCCGTTAAATCATATGTTATTGCCCCTCCTTTCCAGTGAAAGGCGGGGGAGAGGCGCAGCCCCTCTATTTGGGGATTGTATCTAATATTGGCCAGTAACACTTCCAATTGTAGGACAAAGATCAATGGTGCCAAGGGGCACCCCTGGCGCAACAACCGGGATAGGGGAAAGGTCACTGATTGGAGTCCATTTACCAGCACCGTCGTTGTTGCCCTTGAATACATCGCTTTAACCCATGTTCTGAAACGGTCCCCAAACCCTAGCCGTATAAGGGAGGTGTTTACAAAAGCCCACCCCACCTTGTCATAGGCTTTTTCCCATGGTAACTGCGGACCCGGACACCGGACAGTTCCGGACTGTCTTCCGAACCAGTGTCTGGACCGGTCCGGACTGTCCGGTGATCCGGACATCACCGGACACCGGACATAACCGGACACCAGACAGTCCGGACCGGTCCCCGGGGTGCAAACAATGTCCGAA